CTGTAAGCTGTCCTGTGCCCAGTGAGTCCCATCCAAGGGTGGTTGGTTCAGCCAGGGTGACCTTTCCCAGCCCCACAGATTGCTCTCAGGGAGCCAGCCATGGATGAGGAAAGCAGGCTGGCTGTGCCTCACAGGGACACCATGTGCTGCTGAAACAGCCCCAGAGCTTCAAGGACCAGGGCTGACGTCAGCCCCTTGGGACTGGCCTCCCGGAGGCTCCCAGGCTCCTGGTCTGCCATGGTCAGAAGGCCCTGGAGCAGGCGCACTGCCTCTACCGTGTGCTGCCACCATCCCCATGCCGGTGGTGGTTCGGGGAGTGGGAAGAGCTCAGACGAAGGAAGCAGGAGCCAAAGCTTTGCTGCAGCTGTGTCAGGGTTTATGTTTCCCTGGGAGGGAGCTTCTCCCCTTTGATCAGGGAGGCAGTGGGTGCAATGCTTTGCCTGCTCTTCAGACTCTTGGGTTCGCTATGCTGCAGCTGATCTGGGGCAAGTCAGTGCCTCGCTTGGTGCCTCGATTTTCCCCAGTCGTACAACTCCAGTGGGAATATCATGTCCCTGTGCAGTGGGCCCTCTCAGTGTCTTACTCTCTGTGCAGGCTGGGGACCACTGGGGTGAAAAGTGCAGCACCCCAGGTCAGTGTTAGTGACCACAGTGATGGAGAAGAGTGGAGATCTTATTCGCCTGGGAGCATCTTACTAGGAAAAGCCATGCCTGAGCTGGGGGAACTGACCATCCTACCATCCCTGCTGGGGGAATCCTGTCCTCCAGTCCCACGGGGGAAAGGGAGGTGCTGGCCAAGTGCAGAGAGGTTGCAGCAGAGGTGTTGCAGCACATTGCTGGGGGCATTGCCTCTGATTGTTATGTTGCATGTGAGTGTAATGTTGCAGAGGTGCACAACGGATGGGACGGCAAATCCCTTGGGAACAAAGGGACTCCAGTGTGTGGCCTCTGCAGAACCCTGTTTCTTCCCAGGGAGGGAGCGCATGAGGCTCTCACCCTGCTTTGAGAGCCAGATGCTTGCAACATTCCAGCACTGGGCAAAAGGTGGGGCAGGGCTTAATTGCTCTTGGGACTTGTAAAAGGCAGATTTTTGTCTCTTGCCAAAAATGCAGAGACCTTACTGAGTCTGGAAGGTCAGGGTCTTTAGCCTCCATTCACAGCTGGGCAAAAGTACAGCCCGGGGAGTTGAAGGGACATAAACCTGCTCCTCTGTCAAGTCAGGCACAGAGCTGGGAAAAGAATACAACCTTAAAAGAAAATGAAATCACACCAGTATCTACTTCGAAACACAACATTTAGGGCAGCAGATTCCTGTGCCTGTGCATTTCCTGGGCCAAGGCACTTAGAGCCTTGCTGTAACTTCTCTGATCCCCAGAGGACTTTCTGGTCCTGCAGTCACTGCTCTGTCTCTCAACACTTTTTCTTGTCTATCCTTTATCCCTCTCCATGGGGAGGGCTCAAAATTATTCACCAGGTGGTTGGCTTCTGTTTTGCTGGGTACCTGTCAAGGCTGCTTCCTTGGAGGCATCCATTTTCTTTATCAATCAATGGCACAACCAAGTATCCCCTATTAATTGCTGGGAAAGGCTGAGATCCACTTCCTGAGTCCAAACAGGGACTGTATACTCCTCCATAGCACTTACTTCTCTCAGATGATCAGCTAGCAGCTGGACATCAGCAAACAAGGAGCAGGAGATGTCCCTGGGCAGCGCAAGGGCAGTGTGGGTTTCTGGGAAGCCTGTGGATGGAGAAGCACTGGCAATGAGAGAGCAGGGCTGGAAGCAGCCACATAGGGGTCTGTGCTCAGAGTGGTGGCAGGACTGTGTAGAGCTGTCCTCTCTTCTCCCTGCCATCCTAAAGCCCCGGAGATTCGACTTATTCAAAGCTTCCTTCTAAACTGCTGAGCAGGGGTGAGTTCAAAGCCGACACACCTCTGGACAGATCTCGGACGGCCAATGTCTCTGTCTCCTCTGGGAGAGGATGACCCACTGGGAGACCACCTCGTAGGAGGCACAGCTGGAGGGTCATGGGTGTGGGACATGCCAGCCTTTGGGCTGGACACAGCTGTGCTTCCTCCTGGTACAACTCCTCTTGGTTAGCGCTGCCTGTTGGTGGAGGGAGTGTCTTCTGAGCAGTCCTATGCCCCATCAGACAACAGGCAAAGCTGGCACAGGCTTTGGGAGTGGGCTGGGTCCCTGGCCGTTGTCCCATGAGCAACCTGCCAGCACTCAGCCTGCTCCCAGAACAGCATCTCTGCTTCACGGGACGGCAAGACCCTAGTGCCGTCTCAGAGGCAGGCACAGGGGACAGAGCAGCCATTGGCACTTGCTCGTGCTCAAAGAGGCTGTTGCATGATTAAGGCTCCAAAGGATTTAGCAGAGAGCAGGAATGCTGGGAAGAAGGGCATAGCCCTCTGGTACCTCTTCACAAGGTGTACGAGATTCGCTGCAAATCTTGCTCTGGGCATAGCACTGGGAGCTTACAGAAATGGTAGGGAAGCGAGAGGAGAGGCGGCCAGTCTTTTCTTTGAGGAGACCTTAACCTTCTGGCAGGGACCCCAGAGGGTGCTGGTGGTGGGGACACTGGTGGCACCCGAGCACCCAACCCCCGCGCAGGAGGAACACAGGCCATTCCTGCCAAGGAGGGACGTGAGCACTATAAATAGTTTGTTTAACGCACTGCGGCCAGGCCCTGGAAAGCCCCAGCCCATGCACGTTCCCTGCTGTTGGCGCTGAGACAGCAGCTGTTGGAAAAGACCAAATCCAGCAGCTGCTGCCTGGTACTCCTGGCCCCTGCCCCATACCCGAGTCCTCCCAATCCCCCTGTAGGGTGACTGAGCCCATAGCATCCTTTGGCACAGGTGCCGAGGCTTGCTAAGATGATTCCAGCTCTGTACTGGTGTTGGTGCTGCTTCCTGGGCTGGTGGTGGCTGCAGGATGCTGCTGGTGTCAGAGGGACAAGGAGGATGGGGAGAGGGCTTTCCTCCCTGACAGCCCTTGCAGTAGTGGACACGCCACTGAGCCTGGTGGGAGCTGTGGGGCCATGCCGGTGTCAGCTGCTGCCCACCCGCGTGTCCTCAGCTGTGGCTCTACCCAGCCCTGGCTTGGGATGCTGGGCTGGGCCCCCCACACCCTGTCTCCACTTGCACAAAGGCCCCTTGTGCCGACGGGAATGACATTCCTGCAGCCGTGGGCCCAGCGCAGAGTGAAGCATAGCCAAGGGGGAGACGGGGCCAGAGCCCAGCTGCCAGGGCAGCTGGTGGGGCCAGGTGGGGATGGGCTGCGGTCCTGGCCCCCATTCCATGCCTGGGGGATGGACATGAGCAGCTGGTGGGAGAAGGGGAAACCCCAGGATGAGCAGGCAGCTCTGGGCTGTGGGAGGCAGGGGAATGGGGTGCAGAAAAGACTGCGATGCTGGGGAGCCGAAGCAGCAGTGCTGTGCACCCATGGGTGCTGCTGGCCCACATTATGCACTCCCACCCAAAGCAGATCTATGGGATACGTGTGGGAAAGGCAGGAGCGGACTGGGCTGGCTCTCACTGGCTAGTGCCCGTCACAGGACAAACCCAAAGCTAAGAGCAGTTTTGGTCACATCTGGCCCCCTTGCTCCTCACCTCACACCACCATTTAAGGACTCTGCTGGGCATCCTCCTTGTCCCATTTGCAAGGAGGAGGATGAGCCAGGCCACTTCTTGCAGCATTAGCTGGCAGCTGGGGAAGCCCCCCCTGCCTGCCACCCCCCTGCAATCCTGGGCCTGCCAGATGCCAGGCTGCAAGGGAAGGGATCTGCCAGCTGGCACCCAGAGGGAGGGAGGGGACTTCTGGTAAGGCTATGCCAGGCGCACCTGTCATCCCAAAGCCAGGATGTCACCATGCCCTACAATGGGGCCTGTGTGTGTGTGATAAGGCCCTGCAGCTGGGACAGCAGTGACAGCTCTGCATGCCTGCTCCTGTGCTCCATCCCCACCTGAGCCCTTGTTTCACAGGGGCTTTGGGGCTGCATGGAGGAGCAGGAAGGCTGGGCTGGTAAGCCCTATGGTACTCCCACCCCACAAGGGGCAGCTCAGCTCACAGGTAGTCAAGAGACAAGTGCAAGTAGCCCACCTCTATCCAGCCCTAGGGAGCTTCTGGAGGAGAGGGCAGCCCTGGAGGGCAGCTGAGGGGTCACTTCTTCCTGCTGTCACACCTCTGCCATCTGTGCTCTGAGCCAGGTTGGCTTGTCCCAGGGCTGGGTGCTGCTATGCAGCGGGGAGACTGGTCCCAGAGAGCTGGGCTGGTCCAAAGGGCACCTATGTAAGGGATATTGATGTTGGGATGGATAAGGTATGCAAGGTCACTCTTCTTCCAAGTGCTGAGCACCCCTGGGGCCATCTGGGCTTCAATGCCCTTCTGGGGTGTGAGCAAGGGGCAGGACACACTGACAAGTCCTGCTCTGAGCCATGCTATGAAAAGTCTCACCCCACAGCACTCCACTGTCGTTTTTGTGGAAGGCTTTTGCTTCCAACTATAACTGGCATGGCCTCAAAGAAAGCAGGGGAAAACATCCACCTCCCACAGACTCGACCCAGGGTTACATTACCTCTTTCAGTCCTTTTCCAGGGTCCAGAGTTCCTGGCTGCCCTCCATTCCCAGATCCATGGTTAACTCCATTCTATCCAAGTGGATCCTCTTTCCCCTCAGCTTCCCAAGAGGGAAGCTTTCCTTTAAGAGCTTTTCTTTCCTTTAAGAGCTGTGCTCCCTTCCATCCCTCTTACGTGGTGCTGCTCCATGTGTCAGTGTTAAGACACCCGTGCAAAGGAAGAGGTGACTTTTCTAAAGTCCTAGGAGATATGGATCCCCTCCATCCCCACAGCAAGACCCACACCTGGCAGTGCTCCTCCACCTGTGCCCCAGGCTGGGCAAGCAGCATGACCTGGGCTTGGCTCTGCATCTCATCCCCCCAGCCCAGACCATGGTGAGCAAAGGGAGGATGTGATCCCCAAGTCACTGCCTGGACCACACATCTAACAGATCTGTTTATTTCTGGAGTACACAGTGAGCGGGGTGAGGAAGCAGAGCTGCCGGGCAGGCAGCAGTGGTTATTGCTGCAGGCGCATCCTCAGTGACAACAGGGGCCTGGGGAAGCTATAACTGCCTGCCTGCCTCTACAGGGCAAAGGATGGGCCCTCGCCCACCGCCAAGCTGGAGCCACCCCATTGCCCCAGAAGGTGAGGGGAGTGAGGAGCACAGAGAGGTGCAAATATGTTGGCACTGGAGTCCACCTACACTGGGCAAAGGAGCGCAAGGGAAGAGGAGAGTGTAACAATGTGGGAGGATGATGGATTGGGAGAAAAAACCCAACTGTGTGCAGAAGAAGATTCCGCCCCCCCCCCCCCCCCCGCAAACCACCATCCCTCCTCTCTGGAGGAAGGCATTGCTTCTTGGGTGCTGTGCCCCCCAGCCCTGCTGTGGGCCATGACCAAGGGCAGCAGATGTCCCAGGAGCTCTCAGGGATGGGAGGGGAGGCCAGGCTGCTGTAACCATGTAGAAAAGAGGAGCTTCTGCTGCGGCACTACAAGGTGGCATGTGTTCATACGGTGGGGGAGCCCCAAAACATTCAGTGCTTGAGTTGTAGGATTTGATCCAATGGTGGGCATGGGCAGGGGCATGGAGATGGGAGGGATGTGTTGAAGGCCACGCAGAAAGAGCCTGTGGGCTCCACGCTTTGGTCGCGCTTAGTGGTGATAAGTACAGTGCAAGGGCTTCAAGAAATAGAGCATGGCCACTCCTCCTACCAGAAGACCATGACGACTCCCCCAGAACCTGCTGCCTGAGCAAGGCAGTATCTGCTGATGCTCCCAGGTGTGGGTGCAGGGATAGACAAGAGAGGATGGGACAGCACTAGAGCAAGCAATATGAGTGTCCTCCCCCTCATCTCCGTGCAATTCCTGCCTCTCCCTGCTCTGCAGCTGGCCTCCAGCCTGCTACTGTGCAAAGATTCACAGGTACCACATGATGCTTGCACTCCTCCTGTTCTGGGGTGGGAGAGAGGAGGGGGGAGTGGAAAGAAGCCCAGCCCAGAAGAGGAGAAGGGAATCCCCTGCCTGCCTTGACCCCTGGTCCACTGGAGAAGGTGGTGTGAGGCTTCCTGGGAGGCAGGGCTGGTGGCTCAGCATGGAATGGAGCAAAGGGAAGAGTATCCTGTGTCCACGGATCCAAGGGGAGGCACTTGGAGGGGGCCTGGCCCGTTGGGGTGTCCCAGCTGCAGCAGGTCTGTCATGGCTCCTAGCCACACATTGTCAGCAGCAGCCACTGCGAAGGAGAGGGAGAAGGGATAAGCAGGGGCTGGTGCATTTTTGGCATGTCCTCAAGTGCCAGCTTTAAAAGCTCTCCAAGAAACATAGGGCCTGCAGCAATCCCCTTTTCTTATCTTGATCTTTTATGGGTTCTTGCCCTACCCAGGGGGATGGAGGGTTTTCTACCACCCACCCCAGGTGCCCCATTCACCCTAATGCCTTGTCCCCTTGTTTCCCACCCCACCTTCCACTGGGCTGAGCTCTCACCTCAGCGAGGTTCATGACAGCGGTCCCAGTGCCGTCAGGGTCCATACTGCGGAAGAACCCTGCAGGGACACAAAAGCAAGGTGAGCAACACATCCCTCTGTTCCTGCCCTCCCTGCCCCAGGGCCATCACTCACTGAACATGGCCTCCAGCTTCACAAGGCAGCAGACAAAGTTGTCGAAGTCCACACCCATGTTATCATCTGCATAGCGGGCCACCACCACCTGATGCAGCTTGTTGTTCAGCTTAAAACCTGCAAGGCAGAGAGAAGTCAGGACCCCCGCAGGAGAGGAGGGTGTAATTGTTAAAGTCCACGCACCCACACAAAGGGTCTACCAACCCACCCAAGGAAAGGCACCGTGTCCAGCCTCAACAGGAAGAGGGGATGCTCCCCCTGCAGCCATATGACTGGTTAGCTCACTGATCCACCCCAGGCCTCTGCTTCGCCAGGATGGGATTCTGCAGGTCAGAGGAGGACAGAGGCTGGGACCACCTTGCATGCATCCCTAACTCTGAGTCTCCAGCACTTGGCACAGCTGGGATGGAGAGAGCCTGGTGCATACATGGGCCATATCTCACTACAGCAGGTTGGTTCCAAGCATGCAGTATAGGCTGGTTACACTCTTCTCCAGTTACTTAGGACAGGACTCTGACAGCAGGAGCCCCTTACCCAGCCCTCATCCCAGCCCCATCCGTCCCCAGACCTACCCGCAGACTCCAGAGCCATGCGCATCTCATAGGAGCTCATGGTGCCAGACTTATCCAGGTCGTGCTGGCGGAAGATTGTCTGCAAGAGCATCACAGAGGACATGAAGGACAGGCTCTCCTGTGGCCTCCAGCCTGGCTGTCCCCTCACCCTGCTGCCCCAGGAGGGGAGCTACCCCTGTGCAGTGCACCATGCCCCCTCTCCTTCTCACCAGCCAGCTCCGGATCTTGTTCCACAGGATCTGGAATTCCACCAGCCCGAGGCGGGCACTGCCATCTTTCTGGGGAGCAGAGGGTCAAGGAGAAAGCAGCCAGCAAAGGGAGTGGTGCAAAGACAAAGCCATCAGATTCCAGCCACTTGAGGCAAGAAAAGCCTGGCCACACTTGGCCTGCCCAATTTTCCCTCCAGCTTCCCCTCTCCTGCAACCCAACAGGGAAATGGCAATGCTTGCACTACCTGTCATACCACTCCCTGGGAGCAACTGTGCTGCTGCTATAGGAAGCAAATCACTATGCTGTCCTAGGAGCAAAACTGGGTTGGCCTGCAGCAAAAAGGGCTGTTGTAGGGCCAGGTGGGAGAAGGGCTTGGAGGTGCTCCTCTGTCCTTGCCTGACCCCTCAGCTGCATGTCCTTGTGCAAGCATGACACAGGCCATGGCTCCTATCACTTTGCATCTCTCATCTTCAACAGCTGGACAGGATGGTTTAGGCAAAAGAAGCCCAAGAGTCCTCATTCCCTTCCAGGAGTGCCTCAAAGGCTGGGGAGCCCGTGTGAAGGGAAGCACAGGGAGCTTCCTCCTAGCAGGGAAAGTAGAAGGCATGAGTGGGACTGGGCTGGGCTTCTGGTGGTGGCAGAGCCAGGACCCAAGCAAGCAGGGGCACTCATGGCCCTTTTTTTTTCCCAAAAAAACCTGCTGCTAAAGCCAAGGGGTGGTGTGGTGGCACTGAAGCCATAAGGACCCTTTCCTGTCTTCCCCCTGTTGAACAGCCTCAGCATGGCTGGAGAGCCAAGCCTCAGCTCCCACAGAGAAGACTTGCTGCTGGCAAGCAGCAGGCTGAGCACCAGAGAAGTTGGCCCCTGCCCACAGCACCAAGAGAATACATCCATCAGGTTGACCATGTTGCGGCAGGAGTCCACACTGAACCCATCTGTCTTCAGATCTTTGTCTGAGGAGGAAGGAGGAGGTTGAGCACATGAACCAAAACTGAGCAGGCCCGGGGCACAGGGAGCAGGGGGTGGGAAGGGCAATGCTTACGTCTAGCAATGACTCTGTTCAGAATAGTCCGGAGCTCAAAGACACTGATTTCCATGTCCTGTAACAGGAGCAGAATTAGCATCACCCCTTGCTTGCTCTCCACCCCACTTGCGGCCATTCCCCCCTCCTGTCTAAACATCTCTGCCTTAATCACAAAACATGAAGGTGCAATTACATTTCTTGCATGCCCAGAAGAGTTTGGGTCACAGCTGGATGCCTCTTCCCCAAATCTGCCCCTGTCACACCACCCCTGAGGGCAGCTGGGCTGAGCTGTGGCAGAAATGGACCTGTCTGCAGGATGGGACTGAGTGACCGTGGACTGGGCTGGAACTCTCATGGCTAGGGATCCCATCTCATCCCCTCCCCAGGCCAGGGCCTCCAAGAGCTTGGCACAGCCATACCCACCTCCCCTGCCAGCTGCTGGAACATGTTCTTGAAGCCATCTTCTATGTCATCCTCAGTTATTTCCTCCTGGGGTGATACAGGCCAGAAGGAAGAGGTTAGTGGTCAAACCCAGTCTCTGCCCTGCCTCCCAAGCTCAGTAAACCTCAACTGGAAAAAGGAAGCTCTTCCTTGTTCTTCTCATCTTTGTTAATCCTCACATCCCTGTTGCCCTGACCCTGCCAGCCCCTCTCTAGCCACAATGATATCCCAAACTCAGACAGCCACCTCCTGCCTGCAGCTCCCCCTCCCAAGCCCCAGAGCCTCAGCACCAGCTGAACCAAAGTGGCAGCTCCTACCTCATCTGCCAGGTCTGCTGAGATCTCCTCATCCAGCTCCCTGGGGCAGAAAGGAGAAAAACAAAGGGATGAGCAGGGTCCCCAGCCAGCAGGCTGCCTGCAGTGGGGAAACATCCCCCCCCCTCAGACACAGGGTGTCCCCTCCCAGGCAGGGACTCACGCTGTGTCAGACTGCTTCTCGGTGAAGACCCGCAGGACGAAGTCGGCCTCCTTGTGTGGCTCGAAGGTGGAGGGCACGACGATGTACTCGCCGGGAGGCAGACGGATCTGGTTGCTCACCTCCCGCAGGTTGATGAAGGTCTCAGAGCGTGCCCGTGACTGGTTTCGCAGGAAGAAGTCCTTCTTCAAGTGCACGTTCTGAGTGCCCTGGGCCTGGGGGAAGGAATGCGCTTGTGGATCACAGCCCCACAATGGGGAGCACCCACGGGGAGTGGTGGGACCAATGCCAGCCCCCGTCAGGCAGGACATCCCTGTCCTGCCCATCCCAGTAGGAGCCATCCCTCCCTCCCACATGGAGGTGCCCAGCACCCACTAGCACCCTAGCCACTGCCCATGACAGTGGGTGCATCCACCCATTCTTGTCCACTCTTGGGGTCCCCTCCAAGAGGGGGTAGGCTCCAGCAGCTCAGGACATACCTCCTCAGGAACCTGCAGAGGAGAGAAAAGGAGGAAAAAATCAGAGTCCCAGTATCTGCCCCATCCCTTACAGCTGCAGGGAGCACAGGATAGGGAATATTAACTGATAGACTGGTCAAGGCAGGTGGAAAAGGTTTCCTTGAGGACTGGGGTTGAGACAGGACTGGCAGGGCTGAGCCTGTCCCAGGGAAGTGGCATCGGGACTGGCAGGGGTTACCTCATAGACAGCAAAGCCGATGGTGTGCATGTCACCTCCCACCCGCCGCTCCCGCCGCCGGTGCTTCTGCATCAGAGCCACCAGGAAGCTGCAGGCCACCTCATCATCCCCAGGGTCGTCATCTTCTTCCAGCAACTTGATCTTGAACTGGGGGTTGATCCAGAATGTGGCTGACAGGAAGAGGATGTGTGGATGAGACACTTGGCTTCATCACACTGCCAAGAGCAGAGACGTGGAGGCCAGAGGTACCTGGGTGATTCCTGCAGCCCCCAGCAGTGCTTCCCCGGCGCCACGTGCCCTCGAACACCTGTGTGTGCCATCTGCTGAGCTCATCCTTGGTGAGGGCATCGGGGGTCAGGTTGCAGATCTCCAGCCTGGAGAACTCCCTCATGAAGTCCCGGAAAGACATCCTGCAGGAGGTGGGTAGGGGATGAGGCCAGGGCACTGCTGTGGGGAGGGAGGACAGCACAAGCAGCCCTGGGCCCAGCCAAGATTTTGGGAGAATTAAGTGACAGTAAGATCTTTTACCCTAAACAGTGATAGCTTATTTAAAGCCTTCTGCTGGGTTTGGGAAAGAAGGGATGTTTACCCTTCCTAGGTGTTTATTTTGCATTTAGTTGGGCTGAATTTCCTTGAAAGGAGGAAAATTATTAACTAGATCAGATGAGAAAACACTGGCAAGCTCTCCAGTGCTGGAAAGCCAGCTCATAAAGGCAGGTCATGCGCTTCAGGTGAAGCATGACTGCAGGATCTCTTCCCAGCTCCTCTGCTCCTTCCCAGTCTGGCTGCTGAAATAGAGAAGCACTTTGCCCCGGCACTCACCAGAACTCTCCATCCTCCATCTTCAGCTGCAGCTCTTCCCTTTCATCAGGGTCAATGTTGTTCCATTCAGAGGAGCTGGAATAGCAGGAGAGAGACAATTAGATGAGGACTCCTCAAGGTGAATTGAGCACTTTGGAGCTGACCCTTAACTTCTCCCCTTTCCAATGCGAAGGGTACTGCACGCTGCCAGCTTCCCCTCAGCAGTGCCACGCGCTCAATTGCTCTGTGCACAGGGCTTGCTGGCCTGCCAATGGAAGATTGGCACCCCTTCTGTCCTGCTTACCCATCACTCCAGGCTCCAGTCCACTCCACCTGACCCCAGGGATTCCTGATGCGGATGAGTTGTTCCTGCTGACCCCGGTAGTTCACCTGCCAGGCACCAGACACAGGAGGTTGAGCCCATTCCACTGTCCGGGCTATGTTATCACTATTAAAGTCTAATCTAGCTAACTCACATCTCTGAAGGCTGTGACAGAATAGGCATGGCCCTTCACCAGCTTCTTGAAGGTCACTGCTTCCATATCAAAGGCGCTTGTGATCTGAGGAGAATGTGCAAGCTCAAGTCAACACGATTAAATAATGTAGTCCTATCCCTACCCCTTCCCTCCACTGTGTGGAGAATTCCCCTTGCAAAGAGAAGTAGCAGGTAGCAGCTCCCTGTGCTCATGGACTTCTGGCTGAGGACAATTTAAAGAAGTTTCCCTGCCAGAGGATCCTGAAGATCCATCAGGGAACCACCCAAGGAGCCCGTTCACAGCAACCGGGCTGCAGCACCACATGCTGTGCCCCAGGGCTGCCACACTGGCTCTGGAAAGGGTGCTCTGCTAAGATGGGGAAGAAGTAACCTCCCAGCGAGGGGACTGCTGATACAACCTTGGGCTGTGAGGTCTCACTTTGGCCGCTGCAGCGGCAGAACCCCAGCTCATCCCAGTGCACCACTTACGTCGATGGAGCAGCCCAGCAGGGACCCCCTCTCCAGCGCCTTGCGGATGATGTGGCCCATGTTGCGCGGCGGTCGCTTCAGGTCGTACATCTCTGCCACGCCGCCCGTGAAGTCCTCAAAGCCTTCGGTGGTGCTGCCCCCCGAGAGTGACTCGTAGCAGCCGTTCAGCCTGAGTGGTGACAGGGGCACGTGAGGAGACAAGGAGGTAGCACACTGCTGCTTCCCAGGCACCCAGCACAAGAAGGGCCAGCAACAGAAGAGACTCCCTTCCCTCTGCCCCGCACAGTGAGGTGCCCTGTCCCCCATCTGCCCACATGCCCACCACAGGGGTACCCACTTGGCATAGGCCTTCTCCAGCAGAGCACTCCAGAACTCGGTGCACTCCGCTGAGTGGACAAACAGGAGCTCCCCATCCTTGGTGGGCAGCTGGTCATCCACCACCACATCCACCCACTCACCAAATTGCCAGATCTGGAGGATGAGGAGAGAGTGGGGTGAGCTCAGAGCATCACATGGTTTGCTCATCCCTATCCCAGAGGGATGCCCTCAACCCACCACCCTCTCTTCCACCCCAGCCCACCAGCTGTGGAGGGCCAGGAGCCCCCAGCCCACCTGGAAGTGGAAGATGCCAGCATAGTCCTCCTGGAAGCTCTGTCCATGGGGCACCACGCGGTGCAGAAGCTCCTCATTGAGCGTGAGGGAGCCAATGGCAGCCAGCAGCCAGCAGTCACCTGGGGAAGGAGAGGAAGCCAGTGTGAGCACCCATCACCTCTCTATCTGGGAGAGTAGGCAATGGATGTTTAGAAGCCCATGTTGTGCTCGCCTTGCAAATGTTTGGAGCTCCCCAGATCAAAAAGTACGTGGGAAAACCAGAGAGGGTCCAGCAAACAGAGCACAGAGAGGCAGGCTTGCTCATCCTGCCCTCAGAGAGTACTAGCTCAAGGCAACATGGAACAATCTTCCCTGACCTGGAGCCTGTGTGCAGAACACCACATAGTCAGCCCCAACAGCCCCTTCCTGCAGCCATATATCTAGACCCTCCTGAAACTCATTCATATGACTGCCCTCCATATCTCAGACTGCAAATTCTGCAGTGGAATTACACTTTGCATTTAAAAAGCCGTTTTATCAAGCAAGAGGGTTAATGCTGCTGTCTCAGCTTCTCAATTGCAAGCAATGCCACCGCCCTTTTCCTTCCAAGTGCTCTTAACCACAAGTGCTGCTCCATGCCAGCACTACGGTTTAAATTCTTTCCCTTGATTCCTATTTCTCTTTTGCCTTTGAAGCCTTTCACACCTTAGCCTTGAGCCTGGATAACCTGTAACTGGGCTGTGGTTTGACAAAATGGAGTTTCAGATTTTTTAATGACCAGTTGAACACTACCACAGTGCTCTGGGCTGTTATGTGCTCCAGTTACCACCTCAAATTTGTCCTAATTACTGTATACATTAAAAGGTCAGCCCTGAAACCAGCATGCTATGTGTGCTTAGGTATATGATACTGCCAATCAAGTGATCCCAATCAGGACAACACTCTCGGTGGTACCAAGATCTGTTTCCAATGACCACTCTGCCAGCCTACATAGCCCATTAATATTTCTCTCCTTGTCTCAGTGCCTTTGCCTTGAGAGACACCCCTGGAGTCCACCCCTGGAGTGTGGACAAATCATCACTTGTACTCAATAGCTCTCAATTCCCTCCTGCCAGACTGCATTGCTTTGCAACCACTTTGTCACAACCAGCACATCCTCACCTCAATTTGTTACTGCCATCCAGCTGCCATCCCTCATCATTTACCAAAGCAGGGAGCTCTTTGGAGCAGCTCCTGGCATTGTTGTCAGCATGTGTCAGGCATGGATCCACCCATCATCTTGCCTGACCTCGGCATGGTCAAGCTGTGCAGACATCAACCCATTTTCGTGGAGCCTTAACCTGGAGCCACCAGGAGGCACAGGATGTCCCACACCTTCCATTTTCCAGTGCACTAAATGGAAAGTTGGGCCAGCCATTCAACCCTCCCCAGTCACTGCTCTCCCAGACCAAGGTCCAGGGACAGAGCTCAAACACTCACCCAGAGCCCCCTGGCAGATGTCCGTCCGCGTTGCACCACCAACGATGAACTGAGGGTCATCCACTAATTCCTGCAGAAGAACAGGATCAGATGCTGGTGCTGGAGTTTGGCAGGGTCTGGGCTTCAGCAGGGCTGGCACCCACTGCAGCTCTGACTCAGGAGAAATGGTATATGGTCCCTGCCATATACCATGGCACCCCATATGCCCTCTACTAGGGAAGGCTGCTTGACTGTAATTCCAAGGCCATCATGGTAAGGCAAGGCAAGATCTTCTGCTGTAGCCATGGGAAGACAAGGCTGGATAAACAAATGACGTTCCCCTTGCACTCGTGGCACCAGGGGATATATGCTCTCAAAAGCCCCAGTCACTGAGGGTGACACATCCATGCCATGACACCTAGAAGCAACAACAGAGCCCACCTATTTTGGAGCCCACAGTCTGCTGTCCAGAGGAAGCTGGGCCTGCTAGGCACAATGCTTCTCTGAGCAGACACCCACCGGGCATTGCTCCGGGAGCTTGGGAAGGGAAGCTATGCAGCACTCCAGGCACTTTGAGCACTAAGGGGAGCCAGACAGGGCCAGGCTGCAGATCAGCACACCATGTCAGTGCAGACATGCAGGGCAGAGATGCCAGCCCAGCCTGAGAAGCAAGCCCAGAACTTACCGATGGACGCTTCCACTCCACCCCCCGTGTCTTGCTGGAATGAGGCCCCAGCTCCTTGAATCCAAGGGCAGTGGGGCCAGCTGGGAACTGGGGATCCCTGAAGAGGGTGCCGCTCTCAATGCATTGCTGCTTGAGGGCCTCATAGTCCTGGTTGAGGTACTTGATGGCGTTGTTGTGCTGGCCAAGCCCCTCGGCTCTCAGGCGGTCTCTCTGTAGACGGGCAGCCATCCCTCCAAAGGGCATCATGGCCAGGCACCAGCAGCGCTGCCTTCAGCTCCACTCCCTGCAACAGAACAGGCATGGCCAGGCTGAGGCAGAGCCTGGTACCTTGCACTCCCCTGGGGACATCAGCCATCTCACAGAGCCAAACTTGAAGGTTGGATCCCCAGTTCCCCACCAGCCTCACAGCAGGGACCTTCTCCCTCACCAGTGCCCTGGGTCAGTGAGCCCAGCGGCACACAGAGCACTCCAGGGTGGGCACATGCACCAGGGAAACCTCCCCCGACCCCATTCCCTAAAGCAGCCCCGTTTTGAGCCCTGTCCTCCAGCCCGGCCATCACAGTTCTGCTGTCTTTAGGGGACGCCAAGGAAGCAGAGCGGTGTTGAGGGTTGGCTAGGAGGAAGTAGCCCACCAGCAGCTAGGTCACGGATCTCCCGTCCTGTCCCGTCCCTGCTGCTGAGCCCAAAAAGCCGAGCCCGGAGGAATTTCAGGCCCTTCCCGCCCCCGTCAGCCTCTCCTCCCGGCGCAGCTTTCCGGGTCCTTCCCTAGTCCCGGCTCCTCCTCACCCGGGAGGGCGTAAGCAGCCGCCCGCAGCTTCTCCCAGCCCCGGGCGCCTCTCCCTCTCCTTCGAAACCCGCCCCAGCTGCCTGAACACTGAGTCAATAGGGTCGGCTAGGGAGGAGCCCAGCGGGGCGCAGACAGCTCTATCTATGGGGCCGGAGGAGAACAGGGAAGGAAGAGGCGGGACGGCCCTTCTCGGCACACACACACGCAGGCAGGATGATTCAAGGCTCGTCGAGGGCCAGTGGAGCAGCCTGCTGGGAGACACCGGGAAGGGATGTGGGATGCAGCGAGGCACCCCGGCAGCAGGAGACCGGGGCAGGGCATACACCGCAGAGCCCCCACACCGCACCGGTCCCTGCCCTGGCCTTCCTCCCCGGGGGTTTAACCAGTAGCTCACGGCCAGGCGCTTCAAACCAGCAATGACACAGCTGCCAGGCATGTCTGGCCCTGCAGCCCTGCCCCACCGCTGTGGCGGCAAGTCCCAACTCCCCTCCCAGCGCCCAGCTGCCATCAGCCCCGTCCAGGCACCATGACAGCAGCCGGCGTTCCACCCACTGCACCGCCCAGGATGGAAGGGGCCTCCAGGGGCCGTCTGGTCCAAGCCCCCATGCAAGCAGTGTCACCTGCAGCAGGGCCATTGGTAAGGTGCCACCACCATCAGCCCACCTGCATCTGCAGCTCAATATGCCACACTCCCCAGCCATCTCAGCTCCTGCTTGGCAGGGCTGGTGCCGAATACTTCAGAGGTTTCTCCCTGTGAGGGAGTGGAACAGTCCTTGGGTAAATAACCCTGGAGCCAGCAACCCACTCAGAGCAGCCAGCTCAGATGCCAGCACTGGCCAGCAGCCTCCCTAGCACCCAGTCCCAGGGGAGTGGGGCACAGCCTTGCTCTGAAGAGGTGGTTTTCCTTGTCCTGAAGTGCTATGATAGCTAAGGGAAGGAAGGGAACAGTGAAAAGCTCTTGGCACATGCATAGGGCATAAATCTGGCTGCTAACTCGTGGGGCTGCCCTAGCCAGAAGCTTTTCAGAAGAAAAATCTAGTCTTCCCCATCATTCCGCCTGCCCTGGGATGCTCTAAACCCACTATCCTTCTCCAAGGCAGCGCCAGCCCTTCTCTCCTCTACAGTGGCCCCAAATCAATGGAGCTCCTCCCTCCAGCTCCTGCTCCGCAGCCAAACACCCTGGCAGTCTCTCCAGCAGCAAGGCACTCATTGCCTGCAGAGCTGGTGGAATAGTTTCTCCAGTCCCGGGTGCTGCCCAAAGCCCAGGGATGGCTGCAGGAGGAGGAAACCCAAGTGCAGGCACCCCCACACTGCCTCCAGTTCCCACCTTGCCACCTCCCCGGCACTCACAACACAACCTGCTGAGGGCCAGGGAACTTCCTCTGCCCGCAGTCCCTGACAGACACCCTGCACCCTCTCCCACCCTCTCCCACCCTACCTACCAGGACGGGCCATGGCTGCGGACATAGGGAGCTGTGTGCTGACACGGGCACTGTACGAGTTATTCTTAGATCTGTGGCTCAAAATACTCGGAAGGCTGTGCTCAGCGGCAGATGGAGGTCACACAAGCGCAGAGCAAGGAAAAGCATTTCAGAACCCAGAATGGGAGAGGAACCACATGGGTCCTTAAACGACAGGATCGGCTGCTGACACCTCCCCAGGATGATGCTGATGGACACTGCAGGGTCCTCCATGGAGGAGGAAGGGGTGTGATGAGACAAGCCAAGCCCCCAGGGCAGTTTTCCACAGCAGGTGACATCCAACTACAATAGGATGCTTTCCAGTATTGGAGGTACTTCTGATCCCTCCCAGCTGGGAGCAGAAAGATACGCTGGTACCTGCAGGGTCTCAATACCTCATGCACCTTAGCACATAATGCAAAACCCCTGCGCAAAATCACTGCTGAAGTCCAGCCAAAAATCTCTGCAGACCTCTGTTTTGTCAGCTGCTCTTGCAGATCAAATGAAGCAGGAAGTTCCCTTCCTCGAAGCCAGCCCTGACACATAGTATCCTGCCGCATACTCAGCTCGGGGCAAGAAGCCACTGCCGCCCATAGGGTCCCACACGGCTCAAGCAGCTCTCAGGCCCTTGCCAGCCCTCCGGAAGACAAAGATCCTAATTTCCCACAAGCTTCCCTTTATGTTCCTGCACCCCGTCAAAGAGATGCGGCGTTGGCTTTGGGGTCGGCAGCGCATCCTGGGTGGCCGCGGTACCCAGTTTACTCGCTGCCCTGACTGGGAAGCCACTGGGTCTCTGCGGATGCGTCATCTAATGTAAAAATCCCCACGGACAGAAAGGGGATGGGATAGGCAAGCCTGGAGAAGCTCAGAGAACAGAGGAAGCAGCCGGGGGAGGGGGGAGAGGCCAGTCGTCGGGCGGGCAGGGTTCCACCGCCGCGGGCGCGTTCGGAGGAGCCCCACCTGCCCGGCCGTGGGGAGGGCCCCGGGTACTTAACCCCGGGCCGGGGTCGGATAAGGGTGAGGATGGGGGGGATGGACTTACGGAAGCTGCCGCCGCCGCCGCCACCGCCCTGCCCGCTTCAGCCCGGCCCAGCCCAGCCCAGCCTGGCTCGGTACGGCCCCGCAGAAGGTGGAGTTTCGGTGGGCAGGATGTGCGAGCAAAGCCGGGAGGGCGGTGGGAGGGGGAATTAAAGGAGCAGTGACAGCTCACAGACACTAGAAGGGGATGTATCGGGGATGCTGGTGCGGTTCTGTCTGTTGTCACCCTCTCCCAGCTCCCGGGGATGGAAGGGTACCGCCGGGATGGGCCCGCTTCTTTACCATTCAGAGTAAAGTGTTCGGTGCACACGGAAACCGCGCCTGGAAGGAGAAGAGGAAGCAACTTTCCCGTAGGAATGGGTTTGAGGGTGACTGCCCCACACTGCTGGCAACTCAGCTTAGCTGGGTGAGCTCTATACTGCACCTTGTCCCAGGGCTTATTGACCTTCTGGTGCCATGGCTGACTATGGTGGTCCCAATGGGTTTCACACACTGTGGGGTCCCTTCTTCTTCCCTTATGTCTGGGAAGGCTGTGCCTGCACCACCTCACTCTTACAAGCCCAGGGACTCATGGCTGGCAACCCTGACACCAGCTGCCCTGGCTTCCCCACCAGCCATGGCAGTCATGGCTGGTACCCATCCCACCAGCTGCTCTCTGTTGCCGGGTGCCAGCAGGGAGGTCCCCCTGCCCTGTGGCTTCCCGCAGAGGGGTTGCCCCTTCGTGCCCTCTGTGACTCATGGTGCAGCAATGCTGGGTGGTGCTGTTACCAGTGGGCATGGCCACAGCAGGGCTTGGCACAGCACTCTGCAGCCCTGTGTGGTGCAACATGGCTTTCTCTGGCATGGCATGGCACAGCTCGGCCTGGTGTGGCTCAGCACAGCATGTCTACCATGGCCTGGCCTGGCATGACTAGCTCAGCTCAGCCTCATTCCAAGGAAAGAAGCTCTGCACTGCCATCCTTCTGCTGCCAGGGCTGGACAGGATGATCCCAGCAGCCATGGGACTCCTCCTCCCCTGGTGCCTGCTTGCAGCTGGGGAGGCTGTGCCTGTACAGCCTCACTGCAGCAGCTGGCATTGAGCCTGTGGGAGCCCAGGCTTCACACAGCACCTGCTTCCTAACTCACCGTGCCTTGCTCCAGGGGGTAAATCCTTGCTAAGCAGGGAGCAGGTTGCACATGGGTATAGAAGCTGTGTCCCTTGCCTGTGGGAAAGGCAACCAGGACATATAAAACTGGCTGTAGCGTGGTCCTGCTGCCACATCCAAAAGGGACCACTGCGGCCCTGGCCAGCACCCACCAGAGCTGCCCTGTCCCATCCCTACCTAAGGGGAGCCTGTCACAGGCAGATTATTCTGCCCACCCTGGTGTAAAGGAGGCTCTGGGGTGCCCTGCTCTGGGTTGTTGCAGGGGCTGCTCCCTCTCCTCAGCCAAGGGCAGCTGTGTCAGTGCCTGCAGGCTGGAGACATAGGGGGTTCCCTGCTGGGGTCACTCTCCAGCTCTGCACGGAGCTACAGGCAGCACCATGCTTTCAGACAAGGAGCAAGAGGCTGGAGCAGGAACAAGCACATTGCCTGTGCTTGTTCCTCCTTTGGACTTGTGCCCAAACAGTTCTTCCAGCTTTTTCTCTGGCCTGGACCACCACTGACCACCGTGCCTGCTCCGCTCCACCCAGGACAGTGCCCCTCCTTGTTGTGACCCCATTCTCCTGTTTATCTCCTGCCCTTATTACCCCTCAGTGGCCTCCAAAGCTGCTTTCAAAGCTGATTCCTGGAGCAGGAGACAGCTCCTACATAATCCTGTCACAAAGGCTGTCCTGCATCCTGCCCTCTGTGCTTGGGAGCAGTTTCCGTAAAACACCTGCACAAATACCTGTTCAATTTCATTGTTTCCTTCCCTCAAACTTCCCTTTGCAGCAATGGCTGCAGGGACTTGGCAGCAGGCACAGTTTGTCTTTCAGTCTTCAGTTCTCTTTGTTCTTAGGCATTACCTCTTCCCTATCCTTTGGCTGTGGGCTGCCAGGGGGAGAGTCTTTTGTCCCCTGCTGATGCTGCACCACTGGCACACGAAGCTACGGGGCTTGAACACAGCAAGGTGAGAACAGAGCTGGGGTCACTTGTCCAACTCTCAGCAGCCCGCCCCAGGCCTCGCCTCTCCATTGTGCTGTCCTCCGAGCAACAGCCACTGTACACAGTGTAATGAGCATGCAGCAGTTGCCCGGGAAGCATGCTGGATCCAGCCTGCACAGAGAGCAGCAGGAAGCATTCTGGGGGCTGGCCCAGCACTTGGGATGGCTGACCTACAAGCAGCATCACATGTCAGGAAAGTGCTCCCAGCCAAGCTGTGCTGCAGAGGTCTAGCACCTCTCATCTTTTCCCAGAGGCCTTAGCTGTCCACCCAAACCAGGTGTCTAAGTTTCTGAATGGATATGGCAGGAGTGGATACGGAACTTGCTACTGGGACTGTAGAGGTGGGCTGACATTTGCTATTGAGGCTACCAGCAAAACTCCCCTACCACACCATTCCCAAATCATCTTCCCCCATCCCAGCCTCAGTGCATGCAGCTCCCCATCTACCTGCTTTTCGCAGTGGTGCCTCTGCAAGCCAGAGGAAAAGCTCACTTGTGCCAGGAGTGCCTGTGATCCAGGGCTGGATTCTTGGCAGCAGGGCAGCGCTTGTGCTCACACATGATCCCCCACTCCTTTTGCACCACACATGCTCCTGCAGCCCTGCTGCAGCTGGGTCCTCTCCTCCCAGGTCCCAGCCCCCAACCCGTTCCACAAAGAAAAGACTTCAAGAACAATAGCTCCTTTTTTTCCTTTTTTCTTTTGTACACAAATATATACAGGGTATTATACACATCTCTACACAGACAGTGCCACTCAGAACACACAGCTCTGCACGGGCAGAGCCCCGATAGGTGCAGAGGCAGCCCCGGGCCATAGCCGTACCTACAGAGACCAGAGCATCCCAGCCCACCTGCTGGAGGCAAGGGCAGTAGGTGGGTGCAAGAAGGGGAAGCAGGATCAACATCCCCCCTGCCCCAGCCTGAGAGTGGACCTCGAGCAATCAGCTCACATGCTCATTTCATTCCTAGCCAATAGCTGGAGGGGATGGGCGACTCTCACCATGCTCCTTCGCACCCACGTGTGCTCCAGCCCCAGCTGAGCCCTGGGAGCTGGGGTGGCCTGCCCTCCCCATGCACTGAAGACCCACATCTCCTCCCCTCCATCCCCTTTCCTCTGGGCCTGGGATTCTTATAGAGGAGGCATACAGGAAAGTCAGCTACATCCTCCTTGTAACAGCCCCCACATGCTCTCTGTGTGTCTGGCTCCCTTCCTCCAGTGGGGAGCAAGGAGGGAAAAAAGCCATGGGATGTGACCACCCTTCCCGGCAGCTGAGATGAGCAGGGCTGACATTTCACTTGTTCAGGCCTATTAAAGTGCTTGGAGCTCCAGGGCCAGCATGGGTGATAGAAAAAGTAAATGACTGTCCACTTTCACTCAGCCCCATGAAGCCCTGGAGGGCACTGCCCCAGCGAGCTGGTGCAGCACCCACAGATGACAGGCAAAGGGAGGGTGATAGTGTCTGCAATGAGCACCAAACAGGATGGTGGCAGGGTTGAGGGAAATAAATATAGCTAAATAGCAGGGGGATTTCTTATTTTCCTTTACATTTTACACAAGGGGAAGGGGGAAGCAATTGAGGGCAACTGATCCTGACCACAAAAGACCTCACGAAGAGCCTTTAAACAGGGTCAGTCCTCCCTGCAGGTGCCAGGGGCTCCAGTCCACCTCTCCCATCCATCCTGTTCTTTGCCTGCCTCTGGGACAAAGCTATCAACAGGGAGGGGGCAAGGGCAGAGGTAGGAGAGGAACAGCCCCCCTCTCTGGCTGGGCGACGGCAGGGGAGCCTACACCAGTCAGGGCAGGTGAAGAAAGTCAGCACAGCCCAATGAGGCTTTTGTGCTCCTGAAGATGGTGGTCTTGGTTGGAGAGGGCTCCCAAGGGCTGCTTTCCCAGGGCTCTCTCCCTCTTTGACCACCTCAGCTGGGGGAAGACCCTGCAGCAGCTCAGGGAAGGCAGCCCATGGGGCCCTATGACAACCAGGCAGTGCTGACCTCACAGCGTGTTGAGGGTCTGCAGTCTGAGACCCTTTCTCCCCTCTCCCTAGCACCCAGGAGACCCCCATTACAGCCCCTCCACCCCAAGCCTGACCCTGCTGTGCAGACACAGGGCAGCAAAGGGAGGGTGCAGTACCACATGGGGGTCAGGTTGATTTCTTTGAAAGAGAAGTAAAATGTGCAAAGAAAAATGCCATTTAACATGATGCTGCAATCCCCTGTCTGTGCACCTGGGGGAGGAGGAGACAGGACCTGGGGAAGAGGCTGCCTGCGCCTCCTGCTGCCCATAAGAAATGCCCTCAGCACCCCTCATCCTGTGGGGCGATGCCTAACTCATGCCAAACCTGCATCCCTTACCTGGGATGATGTCACCCTTGACCATGAAGCCAGGCTTTACCGTCCCTGTGGTGAGGGAGAAGTCTGTAACAACCCCATGCCTGGACCAGCTCCTGGCATGCCCCACCAAGTGGATACTGCAAGGGGTTGAGAAAGGGCACACGCAAGCACAGGGAGAAGGTGCAACAAAAGCCACCCCCTTCCCTAGGTGGGGTTTCCAATACACTGATTAAAGTTTTTTGTTTATCACTTTCCTGCAAATCTAATAAATTATTAGTGTTTCTCACCAGGATGACAGGCAACAAAGTGGCCTGCTAAGAAGACCCCAAATGTTCCCCTTATGCCCCTTCCCACAAAGCACCCAGCCTTGCAGGTCCAGGGCAGCACTGTAGGGGTCTCATTCCCCTTCCTCTCAAGCCCCTAGGATTCTGGGGTCCAGGGACATGTTGAAGAAGGTAGCTAGTAAAGAGCATGCCTGCTGAGCAGCCGGGCTGGCACAGGGGTGGAGGGGTAGGGAGATGGAGAGCTCGCAGCAGGGCCCCTGCCCTCACTGAAGGCAGCGTCCCTGGGGGGCAGGCGGGCAAGGGCAGCG